AAAAAAGGCCTGAAATTTGCATAATTATTAACAATTATTTTGTTAACGCATCGTTTTCTGATGCAAAACCTTTTTCCAAAAGATCTTCATTATCTTTCCTGAAAAGGACGCGCAGCTAGGGATTGGAAGTAGGACAAGACAGTACTGGAAGAAACAGTGCTCCTGTAAAAAAAAAGCGCTTTGTTATGCTGCCACCTCCTTTCAAATCAGTCTTGTTATTACTGTTTTGGGAACTGAAGTATAAGAACTGCAGCTGAGAAAAGCCATATTGTTAACGCAGAACAAATTGAGCAAAGTCGTGTGAAACAGAGAGCTAGTATTTTAAACAAATTATACAGTGTCTTTGGTAATTTGGCGAAAAAAAGTTCCAGTTAGCATTTATCTAAAATGAAAACTTGACAAAGTAACTGTCTGGAATGAACCTGACTGTTCGCCTAATCATACACAATCCTAAAGCTTTTTCTGTCTTTTTTTTCGATTATGTGGTATTAAAGAGGTTGTGCTTTTGCACACTTTAAGGCAGCATCAACTCCTTATTTTGTGCTTATCTAACTATTATTTTTGAAATTTTAAGCAGCAGGACTAAAAGAAGTTTTCAAACAATTAAGGTATAAGGTTGGAAAAATATCGAAACTTTCATGTTATTTTCTATTCATTCTTTGTTTTCTTTGGAAATAAATTTTCTTGAACAGAACTACAGGGCCTCTTTTAAGAGCTTCATCACCTCTGTTCCAAGTTTAGGGTCAGCTCAGATTCAGCATCCGTCATGCCAAGCCATTTTAACACCGGCACATCATTAGGATGCATTTTTTGTTTAGCTGCATTAAAGTCTGTATTGGAAAATAGAGGAACACTTAGAAATTGTATTTTTGCAAAAGAACTGCCGCCGCTATTGCCGCTCTGATCCTAGTCGCTAGCTCGCGGTTGTGTGCATATACATAGGGAAACTGTAGATTTTTTGTTTCCAGCTCAAAAGCTATTAGTTGTAAGGTACTGAAAGTGGCTTATATTCTTTGGTTTATTATGACGGGTTTAAATTATTTTTTCCAGTTGAATTCTTCATTTTATTTCCGTTAATTTTTTCGGAACTAAAGTGGGCTTGTTGGGATGAGAAGAAACTCACTGTTTCATTACCTAACTTTTGCAAGTGATTGTTAGTTGAAATTTCAATATTTTGTTGTGTTGATTTAGGAAAAATGCGTAAATACGATGTTTTTTTTCAGCTTCACTGTTGCGATGCGATCAGCTATGCGTGTTTTTGGTCCTTCTGCAGATTAATTTCCATGATCTGTTCTCGACTCTTAAATGTGTTGTTTTTTAGGACTGCAGCATATTTTTAAAGGTTTTGGAGAGCATCGGTCACGTTTTTTGAGTTTTAAACCTTCCTGCTTATCGCGTCTTTTTATGCGTTCACTTCACAGTTGTTTGTAATTATCTTAGCCATAATGTTATATGATGCTAATTAGTTTACATTGCCCTTGGAAGTCATCTGTTTTATAAGTGGATTTGTTGAACAGTAATAGTTTTTTGCTGAATAATTTTGAAAGCGTTGGTTATTTTTGAAACGAAGTAATACCTTCCTGGAAGCTCTGTGTGTCTTGAACACTGACATTTAATGCTTTTTGTTTTTTGAAGTATGAAGAGTTTGCATCTTTGTTCATATAGTTTATAGCTTTAGCTACCACTTTAATTATTACCCACTTCTTGGTGGTAATGACTTCTTTGTATATTAAATATTTTTGCTATATAATTCGAAACTTGCTGTATTGCGTTGTTAAAGTGGTGTTTTAGAAGGTGGCATAAATGTAGTCAGATATTTTCATACTTCTTACGTCTAGTTTTGCCTAGAAAGATTATTTTTTATGATGACTTGACATTCGTTTCAGTTCGAGTAGGTTCTTCTTTATGCAGAGTTTGTGTGTTGCTGTTATTTGTTACTTCAAGTTTTTTCTGCTATTTTAGCTTCAGTTCGCAATATTGTTAAACTACTGTTCTTCGGGTAGTGGTTCTTAATATGGGTAGGGGATGCGTCGAAGACGTCAGTTCTAACAACTTAACGTATATTATTGGTGATCAGGAAGGTACTCTGCTTGAAGAAATCCTAGGTAAAATTTTTCTGGAGTTTTTTTTTTTGACTTGCATGGTTGCTGAAGAGATTTTATTAATGTTATAATAATTTCTAAATTGTTTTTGTCGCGTAATGATTTGGGAGACGTTTCAAATGTTTGTTTTCTCAAGTTTACTAGTTACATTTTTTCCCATATTTCTTTCTTATAAAATCATTGAAGATATAGGCAGTGCAGGCGGTTCATATCCTTCCCAGGGCACTTCAAGTCCAAGGTTGTTCATCGAAAACAAATATTACACTTGTACAGTGGTGTTGCGGAAGTTTGCTTCACTTAAAGAAGCCATAGTCTGTAATAATCAGAAGAATGGTGAACAAGTGGGAGCTGTTATTTTTAAGATTTCAGCGGAGAGTCTAGATATTTGCTGTATGAAAAAATGCCTGACTGCGTGGGATGTTGATACTTCTGTAAGTTTATTAACGTTTGACTGCATTGTCAGTTTTGAACTTTTTTAGGGTTTTAGCTGTGACGCTTTCAGATGGTTGTTTGCGATCATTTAGATCCTGGGACATCATGGGCAAATGAGTTGAAGAAATTCTGTGCGTTAGAAAGAATTGAATTAGTGGAATTAAATCCTTCAAAGGTAAATTAAAACAGGTAGTTTACAAAGTTTTTTTCTGCGCGATATCATTAGCTTTTGGATCTTGTTTTAGTGCTTCCTAGCTATAATTATGGAGGTGTGGGATTTAGACAGAGTAAAAAAGACAAAAAGCAGCCTTATTTATTAACAGGAACCCTTAATTTTGTAATTTTCTTATTTGATATCGCAGTAGCAGCGGAGTTTGCTTGTTTCAGTTTGCTTTGGTGTTTATAAGACACCTTTACTGCCTGTTTTTTCGTTGAAAAATTGTCTCACTTTAGCTGAATACAAATTGATGAGTCATTTTCTGTTTTAATGGTGGTTCCGGGTAGCACTTCTGAAAAGACGGAAAACTGAGATCCGGCTTTTGTATTATTTGGATGATTTGTGTAAAGCGCAGTATCGCTTCTGATTTTTGGTGGAGCTCATTTTTCTGTTTTAATTCCATTTTTAGTCTGTGCGAAATTGTAACTACCAATCTTTTATCGCCGAGTTTCTCGTTCTCTTATAACATAACAATTGGAAAGCTATCAAATTTATTTCTTATTTAGGAAACACTGGAAGAACTCAAGGAATTTCGAGAAAAATACGGGACCTCCAGGATATTGGAGGTATTCTATTTTAATTCTTTTGGTAATGAGAATGAGTTTTTGGTATGTTTACCTTCATTTGATTTTGCTTATTAAAGTATTGGAGTGGTTCTGTTTACCTTTTCATTAAGGTGTTAGAAACAACAAGTTGGCCCGATAAGGTCATTAAGAAATTCCCAGCAAGTGAGAACGAGCGAGATAAGGTAAGTGTATCCAATGTAATACCTTTCATCAATTTTCATGTGAATTAAACCGAAACCCTTTTACAACTTCAAACGGTAGGAAGAAGTGGTGGCTTTTCAATTTTTAGTGGCTTCGACCCGCTTATTTAAAGATTTCATTCAGAAAAAAAATTAAATTGGACTATAAGAGATCTTCTGGTGTATTAGATTGGATAATTTATAAAAATTTCTGTTCTGTTTACAGTCGTTCCTGCGTGAAGGATAAATGCAATATCACTGTTTTAGCGAAACGGAACTAACTATAAATCTGAAGGTGATGAGGATGACGAGTTTGGAGAATTTCGAAGTAGTGTTACTGTGAATGAGAATTTTGGAGCTCAAAGTACAACTGACATCAGCAAACAAGTGGAGAGTCTCAAGAGCAGCGGTTTAGAAAGTGCATTAGGATGCAAGGGTCATTCATGTTCGCTTGATAAAGGGACTACAAGAGAAAGTTTAAAAGATGACATTGAAAAGCTTGTTGGAGAAAAGGATGATAGTGGCAACGTAGCAGGATTACTGCTAAGGGTGAGGAAATTTTTAGCTTATGTGTGAAGTCATTGCAGTTTTCCTTGATCTGCGAAAAGTAGAGCTTGAAGAGATGAAGAGGTAGCTCTCGAATTCTCTCCTCAGTTTCCATCTTTGGTTTTTACATTACTTGGTAAAATTTAAATATATTTTCCGGAACAATTCGCTCATATTACATTGATTTTTTGAGTAGTATAAGGATGTTTGAAATGACACTTTTACATGCTTAGTGAGTAAAATTAAACCTTGAAAAATGGTCCATTTTCCAGATTAGATCTCAACTGTCGCATATGCCATTTGGACCTGAAAGACAAAATCGTGCTGCAGACGCTATGTTACAAATACTAGCTGCGTTGGAGGAAGGGGATATAGGTGAAGGAAGTTAGCGACGACAGTAGTCATCCCTTTTCCTCGCGAACTGATTAAAGGCTTGGCAGAGAAATGCATAGTTAACCACTGTTTCTTCATTTGGAACCGCATGTAGTGATTTTACTAGTAGCAGTCAATAACTGCTGCTGACATGCTCAAAAGGTCAAGAAATTTCAGAAGGTCTAGGTGATTAGACAAGAAATTTTTTTTTTTGACCAGCCTTTAAGTCATTTGTGCATTTATACAAGTCATTAACGCTTACTCATCCTCTTTTTACGCTCTAATTTGAAATAAGGGCTTTAGAAGTGTCAGTCAAAGCATGTATACTTTGCTTCTAGCACAGGTGTTAACTGTAAAGAAGGTTTTGTATGAAACTGGAGAAAAGACAGTTTGTTCAAACATTATTCTCTTCACTTTATTTCATTCAAATTTCTCGAATAAAAGGGACTTTGCTGCCGTTGGAGGGTCACGCAGGTTGTTCACTTCGCTGATTTTTTCAGTGTTTGAAGGTTTGCCGATTAGTGTGGGAGCGAAGAATACGATGAGCCTTCCTGTGCAGAACTTAGGCCCCAGGACTTCTTAGTGAATGCTGTGGGATGCAAAGCCCTCCCACGAAGCACTGTTTGTTGTTCTGTGCTTATTATATTATACTACGCTCATTATATCCTTTAGTCTATGAAGTTTGTCGTGTAAGTGGCGCGTTGGTCTACATCTGCCCGGAGTTGGCTGGTGTCAGTTGAAGCGTTTTAGTTGTTTTCCCTGCACAGACTAATTTAATTTTTTGACTAAGGGTAATCACAATCTGGACTTTAATGATACTGAAGTTACATTCCTACTACCTGACTGGGTCGAGTGATTTGGGCGGGCATCTTCCACTGCTGAATGATTTGCAGCAAAGGTATAAAAGATATACGGAAAACATTTACTAAGCAAATGTCAAATAAGTTCCACGAATCTCTTCAGGTCTCTGCCATAGCTTTATAATCACCAATAACTTTATTGTAAGCAAGCTGGTTTATTTGTGTAAGATCCACGGTTTAGCGAGCACATTTTAGATTCTGCACAAGGTAATGTGATTAAGGATTTTAGACAGCTAAAGGGAATCGGATTTATTTTGAATGGCATAGGGGAGAGGGCTTGCGAGTTGCAGATACTAGCGGCTCGGTACATTCAGACGGATGGGAATTGGAGCTTCTGACTGGGAACGCCAATTCACGAGTGAAGATCACTATGTCATTAGAGTGGAATTTGGCCAACAGTCTTGTGGAGGCAGTCTCCGTTCGTCAGTCGAAAAGCGCCTACAATATTCTTGGACAACAGAGAGTAGTGGGAGAGTGACCGTTTTCTTCCTCATCCTGAAGGGGGTTTGGCCCACCCAAACGTTCCATCAAGGGAAAGGTTGGAGAACCTGTGCGCAGTTTCTCCAAAACATGTGATTCTTTACTGAAGACGTCACAAAATTTTTCCAGTGCCCACTGCATTGCCCATATACTCAAAGGCCGCATATAACCAATTGCACGATAAAAGCGGTGTTCGTACAAAGCCTCAGGAGTTTGGTACTGAAGTCCGCATCGATTATAACATGCATCGTAGCATCCCCAAGCGGTATCGAAGCCCTTTTGCACTTCGCCCTAAAACCTCAAGTTGAAAAGACGGGTATACAACTGTGTCATCTCTTGCAGTGTGGGTTCTTAGAAGACAGGAACCAAGAAAGGGGGAAGAAGAGTGGACAATTTCTTTGTGGGGAGCCAGTGAATGTTTTTATAGCATACTATACAAAACATTACGGAGAATTTAAATATTTGAAGTAATGAGGCAACAGGACCTGCTGGATCATGAATGCAGATAATGCATATGTTATTCCTGTCCACATCTCATCGGCTTGTATATAACTTTTATCAACTTCCCCATTTGATTTCATTCCATTAACAGCACCTAGTCGACCGCCAGCAAAACGCAAGACGTTGTAGTTGTAAACCTTGTTCAACGCCGACTTAACTAAATTGGCAGGCAATATCTGAAAGATAAACGTTGTGACAATGAGATAAGATCATACTGCTCCTCAACAAAAAAACTCACTTAGGAAACTGCTAGTCAAAGAGGCTTAATACTGTAAGGAACCTAAATTTTTCCAATTGTCCGGAACTACAAATCCCGTATAGGCAGAACAAAGATACGCTCTCAATGGCCGACCAACCTAAGTCATCTCAAGCGATGTACTACGTTCAAATTAAGATTCATCTACAGCACCTTTAGCAGTTTCCTCGCGCTATATAAAATCTCCAATTCAATTTGTTGATTGAAGGTAAAAATAGAAAATTTATGCTAAATATCTTTCTGGTTAACAAAAAAGACCCCGGCGACGCAATTCACAAAAGGGAAAAAGGGACTGAAAGGAACAAATGCGTCAGAAAACTCGTTACACATTAAACCAAACCAATTCCTCGTCCTAACCAACAGTACTCGAGCAGAAGCAAATATACGTACGTCATTAGCAAGATCTGGAGAAATGCTTTGTAAGAACCAGTAACCACATAGCTGATCCGCCATAATCGTGCATTTACTACGCGAACGTTCATCAAAATTAAAATATTCCCCGTTCCACAGCTTCTTAATGAAAGCCTCCCTAGCATGCGAAAGGATTTCCCGATAATCCTCAGCTGTTTCAAACATATCCAGCTCCTCAGCCATCGACACTGTGACACGCAACGCAGCCAGCCACAAAGATCCGCAATATGCACTAAAACTCATGCCATTAAAATCTTCCTCACAGATTTCCTAGAAAGAAGCGTACCCGTCGATTCCTAAGAAGTCGAAAGGTAGGCTTTCTTCATCCGCTACTTTTCCGGCCTACGGAGGGAAAAAAGATTTTAAAGCTTAGCGCCCCAAAGGGGCAAAAATCAAAGAGATCAGCCATTCCTTAGGCTCAGAGAGAAGACCTTGGACTTGTTTATCATTTTTGTGCCCCAAAGGAGAGGAAGAGGAATTCAAAGAAGCTTTAACGTCGGTGTCCCAAATCTGTAACTTTTCTAATTCAATTTTCTAGGGCCCCTTCGCCTCAGAATAGTGCATAAAGATCTCATAAAATTGCTGCCTCAGACAGGATGAGATAAGACATCCATCCCTGCGTTTCGGCAAAGAAGCCCTAAAATCACATTTCCAGTTCTGTAAAAGGCGTGCCAAAAATTTTTTTC